CGGGCGCCACCGCCGGTCTGTCTGTCTCTCCCTCAACTTAAACTTCTGCTTCGTGTACTGCACAACAGTGACAACTCCACATAGAAAACCCAAGCATCATCAGGCACTTTTGGAATCTGTTTTTAAACCTTGAAGTGAACCAAGTTAGTTTGAAAATGTGTCTATGTTTGCATATATATAATATCTACATACACATGACAAACTTGGCCCACTTCAATGTCATTTAAAAACTTGGCCAGAGGAGTGTGATCATGTTGTGGAGTACACGGCACTTAGTTTTTGTCTCAGTGAGAGAAGTCGGACGTGCTCATGTCCCCCTAGCTGTGTCATGAGATGTCAGTGACCTCACGCATGAGCTGGTCAAGCACATGCTCCCAACCCGCGTTGGGAGCATGGGCTTGAACGGGCCCACGCAAAGATTGACTGGTCAAATGCTTTCACATTGTCATGTTCGGTTTTCTGTCCAATAAATTGTTCAACTTGAATCTGAGTCTTTGTCTTTCGTGACCAAATCCATCCTCAACTCACTCGAAGCCTTTTCAAAGACTGGCGTCTTGAGCTCAGACTTGCCCTTCAGTCACATCAGACAGTCTTTTCACTGTTGCCGTTGGTCTCCACATGACTCGAAACTCCAGGAATCGAGCTTTTGGGTCATGTGAAACCCACGGGAACAGTGAAAAGACTGTCTGAGGTGACCCAAGTGCAAGTCTCAGCTCAAGACTCAAGTGGCACTTTGAAAAATTGCTGCAAAGTGCGCCCAAACCACACCCAATTTGACATCCACCAATCACGATGAGGCCCTAATTTGCATAACCAATCAGAAGCGATAAATTTGCATAACCACGCCCACTTTCCAGGATCCGACCAATCAAATTGCTCCAAATTTGCATGGCCACGCCCTGAAAAGAACCCACCAATCATATAGCGTCTACTTTGCATAACCACTCCCCATTTTCCACCAATCACAGCATGTTATCATCATGCTCCACCCACTTCCACAGCTATCAGCGAATCAACAGCCATCATTCCAGCCAGGCCACACCCACTTTGCTGGATTTTTCTGCCTGGAAAAAAAAAATCCAGGAAAAAAATCCAGGAAAAAAATTTTTGAAAAAAAAGTTTTTGAAATGTTTAGAAAAGAAACTAGTTTTTTTTTTTTTAAGTTACATTGGTGATGTGTTTAAAAATGAAGTTGAGAGTTGAAGTGTTCTTTGTAAACCAAGCTTTATTTTGCAGAGTAGACAATCATCACAAAGCAGAGGAAAAAGTTGCAAGTTGGATGGCAGTCTGCTTGTTGCTGGGCGGCGAAGTGGTCGGCTCTCGAGAGGAACGTGGGACAGGTGTGTTGACCTGAGAGCAAAGGCATCCGTGAGTTACACGCAAGTCAATTTCTTGTGCAGACAAAGATGTGTTCGGCGTGAAACTTACCAGGGACATAGACTGTTGGGACTTTGGAGAGCAGGAAGCCGATCATGTTTACTGCTGCCTGGGGGAGAAAAAAAAAAAAGTCAAAAAAGTAATCATGATGGTGCATTGAACGAGTGTAAATGTCTCCCATTTTTCAGGCTGGCCCAAAGTTGGACTTCAGCACCTTGCGAATAACAGGAAGAAGTGTTGCCTGCAGGTCTGTGCTCGTGGGTGGACTCTGGCGGTGAGCAGGTTACTCCCTCTTGTGGCA